GACGTGATAGATGATATTATGTTTGAGTAGACGTATTTACTCCAGCTATACTGGGATTCCTCACCGGCCTGTGCCAATTTTGGAACATCACTGATACTGACATCTTCTGAACAGCAGTTGTTAGCTTTGCAGCCACGCACGCCTCCGATTCGTGTCATTTTGGGAGCTATGCGCTCAAATGCGATTATAGACAAAACCTTCCCGGGTAAGATGGTGCTCATCTTGCAGATCACGTTAAACCCTGGTCATATCTACCATAACACGTGAACACTAAGGATACTGTGTGCGGTGTTGCTTTGGAGCGTAATATAAGTAGAACACAATATACATGTACTATATGTTGATTTGCTGTACGTAGAAACGCTAAGCACACCGCAGCGCAGCGGAGGTGGTCAGCCCGCACTACACCAACCAACCCATGCCCTAGCGTCCGCCGGAGCGGGGCGCCCAGACCGCTAGTCGCTCCGCTTCTAACCTGGGTGCCTGTCCGTCCGTCTGTCAATAAGTCCGTCCGGTTCCTTTCTTACTGCTTTTGCCTGCCTTTTCGCATGGCTACACTCGGGCCTTTCTTATACAGTTTCCTCCCATCCTACCGACCGCGCCTACCTTTCTGACTTGACTTCACTATGCATAAATTACAAATATGTCCAAAAGCGGACACAATTAACTCGCGCCCTGATTGGGCAATACCTGCCGACCTGTGACACTGACTGGATCTGTCGCACGATCAGACCGTCTGTCGCCCTCGCGATTGGACGTAAGGTAAACATTTCTGCCGAGCACGAAACGCATCGATTGGTTGCAAACAGCCAGGCGAGCTGCGCTGATGATTGATTATCTACATTTAGCTACGCAAAACCTGTCGTATGTACTGCAAATCGGGCACAGTAACCACTTTATTTTTTAAGAGCTCTGCACACTTTTCAAATAGAGATATTTATCATTATTAATGTAGACTTCACAGACCAGTATTTTGTAAGAGCTCTGGAATGTTATTTTCCACACACTTTTCAAAGTAAAGACGATATTAATAGTACTAATATTATTAATATAAGCTTCACAGGCCGCAATTGTAAGAGCTCGGCGATGCTATTTTCCACAGACTTTCTAAAGTAGAGACGATAGTATTTTTAATATTAAAAAAGGCTTCACGACCAGCGCTTTTTGTAGGGACTTTGCGAATATATATATTTTGTACTTTACCTGGCACTCACCACTGTCACCGTGCAATGAAGGCGCGCGGCTGCACGGTCATTGCGCTATCTGCTCCCGTGCACCGCATCCGACGAATGCATGTGCGCACGATAGATAATTGTTTTAGTCAATTTATATTGCATGTAAAGTATGTATTTGTTTGGAAATCTGATAATAATATATTATAACAAAGCCAAATAGTACTATTTTAAAACATTTTAATATTTTGTCTAATAATAAATACCAGCCTTACAGTACCGTGCTATTGGCTAATATTTGGACGCAAGTAGTTGGTTAAAACAATATAGTTTGCTAATATACTCACAATTTGCAAAATGGTAAGCCCTACGTGCAAGCAATGGGAGGCGAAGATTGACCCGCTTCTGCAGAACCCGCAGCGGTCTACGACGGATGCCCGGGTGCGCTGCGTCTGCTGCGGGAAGCTGCAGTACGGCTACGCATTCCGTACAATCAGCGGGCGGGACATCGTGTGGCGCTGTATTGCCTGCAAGAACGGCCCAAAAGCGGTTGGGTTCTGGGAGGAATAGCCCCCACCACCTGATTCGGCCGATGTGCGCCGCCAGGAAAGCCTGCCAAACGCCGAGAAGGCGATGGGTCCTGACTGGTACCCAAGAAGAAAAAGAGGCGCAGCCGCCCTCGCAAGCTGACCGCCCGAAACGCCAAGTACATCGAGCAAAAGAAGCAGCAGGAGAGCAAGTAATGGTAAATATACCCTTTTAGGCCCCCATTTTCCTACCTATATTTATATTTAGTATACTGGTTGACGGTACGAGGCTTGGAGCCGCACATACGGTAAACTGACTATGGCGCTGGCAATAGTGTTGACGCACCTACAGAGGGTAGCGCGTTTCAAATAATAATTAACGCACGGTATCTACTGTGAACCCTTGCAAGCTGTCTGTCCCTATCTGCTTCCGCGTAACAATAGATCGAGAGTACACTCGCTCACTTGGATACATGCAAACCATGCTATCTACAGGTGGATGTTGCAGGTCGATGTGCCTGTATGCAGCTCTGTATTTTAGTGTCCTGTCCATAATGGTCGACATATGAGCTCGGTTGAGTCGCGGATGGCTACAAGGTGTACCCGCCGCGCGCGTATAAAGCACTACTGCTAAGAGACGCGCGGCCAGCTTGCCTATATCGCTGCGGTATGGCCTGTGCCCAGTTAGTGACCGGTGTGGTCGTATAGACTGATACATTAGAAGCGTAAGCACAGTAAGCCAGCACCATAAGCCTCCACGAGCAGCATTGGATACAAGAGAGGTCAATGACAGAAGCTGCTTCTGGGCTGATGTTCATGCTGCCTTCGCTACTACGTACGCAGAATATCACCCGGTAAATCTAGTCGTCTTTGAAGACGACTTCTTCAACGACATTGATCCCTCAGTGACTAAAGCCCATTCAGCGAAAAAGCTTTTCGAGATGTGGAAGGACGTCAATAAGCACTACATTGTTGCTGAAAAGAAGTTCACAACATCAGGCCAACACGAAAACAAGTTCAGAAACTTTGTTCAAGGCCGTGGATACGTACTCTACTTGCAAAAATGGCTGACAGTACGTAAATTGTATAGTTTTGCAGTGCTTTATGATACTTAAACACAGTAAAATCCTGGTATATAATGGCAGGTGAAGCATGAGCTGACAAACTTTACTAAAGGAGGCTTGCTCCCTAAGGATGAACTCGACACTTTAGCAATAAAATCCTCGCAAACCTCGGAGTCAAGTACCAAGGAAACAACCCCTTCAAATTCAAACCGCAAGAGCGCCGAGACACTCGAGCGCCTTGCTATTGCATTTGACAACTATGTAAAGGACCGCAGGGTAGAAGCAGCGCACGCCAAAGTTGATCGAGACCGAGAGGTGGCCAGATCCGAACTCAAAAAGAAAAGTGCAGTTATATCGCTGCTGAACGACATTCGTCGTCATCTCTATGACGTCGACAAGGAAATTGCAGCTAGCCGAGCTCGTGGAGAATCGCCTGTCTATTTGGAGGAGGACAGAAACCTTCTACTGCAAGAACGTCAATCCCTGATCGACAAGCTAAGATCTCTTTTAAACTAGCGAGCCAAAAACACCGAAAAAGATATGATAGTTGCATTTTAAAAACAATTATTGAGCTTCTTCAGCACGTCTTCTTGCAATGTTGTGCTCTGGCCGGCGCAGCTCATTGTTTTTAATGTACTTAACGATGACATCGCGTGTTATCTCATCCGAAAGTTCAACTACCTCTCCTCCGTCTGTCTCGAACTGAGTTTCCACGAATGACAAGTCCTTGCTCCTATTCCAATTGCACAATTCTTGTCTTAGAGCTCTGATAGATCGTTCCGCCGTATCCGGACTCTCCAATAGATGCTGGGCAATGCAGAAATTATGAAGACGCATGCAACAATGAATTACCATAGGGGCATTAGCCAAATTGACGCACAGGGGCCTCTTTAAGATTCTCCACTTATTCACTAAAAGGCCAAATGCCATTTCCACCCGTATCCGGCATTGACTCAAGTAGTAGTTAAAGTTATCTCGATCGGGTCTACCTCGCAGTTGCGCTTGGTTATATGGAGTCATCACAACGCGTGTCTGAGGGTATGCATTATCCGCAACAACATAATAAGGACCACGTATACGCTTTAATTGCTCACACAGCGACCATTGAAGGAAAGCTACTGAATCATTCCTTCCACCAGGAGCTCGGCACGCCAAAGCAGTAAAACTGCATTGATGATTGGCACTGGCTTGTACATTTAATCCATAGCGCTGATAGTGCCCCGAAAAAAAATCAACCACACGACCACATTCACTGCGGCGTGGAACGCGAATCGGACACAGCCATCCATCAATGGCTCCAATACAGCCCGTAATTGCCCTTCCTCCACTAATCGTGCGAAACCCAGCAGCGGCAACATTCATTTCACCATCGGTGCACGGGAAATGTAGAGCTAAGCGAGGGCAAGTGTTGATAGCACGTAACACTGCATGTAGAATACGGTAGAAACCAGCTCGGCTAGTACCTGTTATGACTCGAATATGGTGAAAGCTACCACCAGCTAACCAAGAGATACACGACTGCAGCATTCCAGCGGGCGAAACCGGAGGCTCGCCAAGGGCTCTTCGAGCCGATTGAACAGGATCTACTGATAAGTCCGAACCCACCAATAGTAACAAACGCTCAAAGCCAGCCATGCTCATTCGATAATACTGTTTAAATTCCCCTTCCAAAACCAAACGTTCAGCATGAGAATTCCAACACATCCGCTCGCGTACTACAGTCATTTCACTTTCGCATTCCACAGCGCTCTCCATAATGATCACTAGTGTAGGAACAATAACTGAGCAGAAAACTTCGTCTCAGCCCGACGAAAGGAAGCCATGGAAGTAGGTTTAGCGAACTGACAGCAAAATTGAAGTCTGAAGGGAAAACCTTAATATGGTAAGATGTTGAAGTTGAAGAGATGATAAGATTGAGAAGACTGCATGCTTCTGATTGAAGATTTCCCGTGCGACCCAATTCGCTCTGATGCGATCATATTTTTACATGCGACGAATTTTCCGTCGCATTGACGCCTTTTTATAATCTCTTTTACATGCGACCACCTTCCCCTTTGACCAATCATAAGAGAGAATTTGCTCGCATGCGACGATTAAACTCGGTTGAGAATGGGCCTAAGTACGGTACTTTATGTTTGACTTTTATTTAAAAAAATTACGGTTTCAGGTAAAACATCGACGTGTACAACATTAGCACATCGACTCTTGCCTACCGAAGTTGCTGTACATCTATAAGGTTCTTTTGAGCATTCACCGTTTATTCTTTTTCTCTTGTTATTGTGAGAGTTAAAGGCCCTCCGTTCGTCGCCAAGCCAGCAAGATCCGCCGAAATACATGAATGCGTCAACCTAGTGACCATAAGTGCTACACAAAGCGAAGGGCAACACCCACTTCGTGCTCCAGCCAGAGTCACATCTAGTACAGCATGGCTTCCTTGATGTCCTTGGGGTTCACCTTGGGCTTTAGCTCATCATCCGGGCGCATTCGGAAGCCCGGTCCGGGAACCTTGTCCCACTTGAGCGTCGTCTTACCCTGCGGGCCCTCGCACGACAGCTGGCCGTTCATAGGCAAACTTCCCCACTTGTTCATCAAGGGCGGCGCATCATTTTTGCATGCGTCCAGCAGCTCACGCGTCGTCTCGGCAGTCAAATTTTCGTAAAAGTCGTCGTTAATCTGCACCATAGGGGCGTTCGAGCACGCACCAAGACACTCAACCTCCCGCAGCGTGAACTTGCCGTCCTCCGTGGTCTCTCCTTCCTTGATACCCAAGTGGTTTTCAATGGTCTTCTTGATCTCCTCGGATCCGCAGATCATGCAGGGTGTCGTGCCACAGAGCTGGATAAAGTACTTGCCCACCTTCTCGCGGTTGAACATGGTGTAGAACGTGGCCACTTCGTACACCTGGATGGGCTTAGCGTCTACGATACGTGCCACCTTGTTCATGGCAGCAAGAGGCAGCCAGCCACCGTGCTGACGCTGCGCCAAGTCCAGCAGCGGGATAATGGCCGACGTCTTATAGTTCTCCGGGTAGCGGTCGAGGATAGCATGCACACGATCATAGTTCTCGGGCGTAAAGTCGAACGGTGTGTCTGCGTTGTTGTCCTCCGTGTCGCGATGCTGAAATGCAGGCGTAAAACATAAAATTAAGCATCGAATAGTCAAAGGGCCGTATCTCGGGCTACAGTACCTGAACGAAGCTACTTCCGGCAATATTGGAGGAGTGGAAGCCTGCGGCGGCGACCGGACGCGCGCTAAGCTGCGCTGCGCTTGCACGGAGAGCGCGCACACTGCGAGAAAGCATGGCTACAGAGAGAGGAGCTTTTGGCTGATGCTGGACGGACCACCCGAACGTGAACGTGCGGCCCAGCAGGCTCCCCCGACGATAATGTGGCGTACACAAACCAGATACTGTGATCCATGGCTCTTTAGACCCTGAATTAGCCAATCAAAAGCGCGATTTTGGGGATTCAGGGCTTCGAGACCCCCTGACCTCACGCCGTTCATTCGCCCCATTCGAGACTTCAAACGCAGTTGAAAATGGTGCGTTTGCTGTTTGTTGTTGGCCGACTGCACAGCCCCGACTAACGTTAGTCGAACCTGTATCAATTCTATATGCTTATCTGCAGTCTGACGAAGAGCCTGTCGATGTGATGCCCGCAATCCGCAAGGCCTGTGAGCCTAAGTGCGAGCAATCCTTCAACGCCTACCAGGCTTGCCTGGACCGCGTCAAGGCCAAGGGTGTCGGCGCTTGCGACGGCCAGTACTTCGATTATCTGCACTGCATCGACAAATGCGTAAGTCTTGCTGTAGCTAAAGCTATTTGCTCAGAACCGCAAACTGACTCTTCATTTGTGATCCCTGTAACAGTCCGTCCCCCAGATCATGAAGCACCTGAAGTAAACATGACCGTCTGCACGCCGACTCAATCGTTTCGCCGGCGGCTACTCTTTGACTACCAGGTGTGCCAGTGCGTGTGTGCCTGCAGAGATGCTGTCTGCGCTGTACTGCCAGCCCAAGACGATTAAAAAAGTTAGTACACTCCAATCTCAAAAAAAGAAGAAAATAACATGTATTGATGGGTTTGCAATGCAGACGCGGACATACTTAATGCTTTAGATATTTTTAAGCTGCGTTTGCAGTCTGTACCGACAACCCCACCAAAACTTCCTAAGGTGTGCTTTTTCATCACTACCTCATTTGAGTGCCGGCGTTTACACAGTGACGGCGTTCACACCGTCTGCTCTAATTCGTTAAAAACAAATCATTTTACACCCAATCATCTGTCAGAGCAAGTTGGTGGCAGCCAGCGCTTCGTTTTGGGCAAGCTCCTTCCCTGCAAGTAGCTCAGTCAATTTGGAGAAAAGAACGGAGGAATCATGACTGTGAAGCGCCGCAACCATGGACGTAACAAGAAGGGCCGCGGCCACGTGAAGCGTGTGCACTGCGTGTCAACGGCTAAGCTCATCCCCAAGGACAAGGCCATCAAGCGCTTCGTTGTTCGGTACGCGGGCATCAAACGAATTGCGTCATCTCTACACATTTTAGGTCAAGACTCTGACCTTTTGCTATGATAAATTCTCCTCCAAATAACTTGCAGCAACATTGTGGACCAGTCGGCCATCCGTGATCTGAAGGAGGCGTCCGTGTACGAGTCGTACGCTCTGCCCAAGATCTACATCAAGAACTACTACTGCGTGGAAGCCGCCATCCACCAGCGTATCGTGCGTGGTCGCTCGATCGAGGCCCGTAAGAGCCGTGCCCCGCCCCCGCGTCGTTTCGCCCCCAAGCGCACGTAAGCTGCTGCGCCATTTGAGCTCATTGCAGCCTGCGCGTAGCTACGGTAGTAGCTGATGCTCTGTTCAGGAATGGAAGCTTGCAGCGTGTTCTAGGCCTCGTTTTTAGCAGAGATTTTGCAGAAAGGGAGAGACAGAAACCTTCTTCGATAACATATCAAGGTGTCGTCGAACAGGTCGTGGGGACGCCAGCGACTTCCTTCGCCATAATAAACGAGGCATTCTTTCTCCAATGTGTCGGCCGCGTCAACTAGGATTGGTTTTGTCATGATTTAACGCTGGTGGACTAACGGTTACAGGTTTAGGCCCCGGCGGAATCTAGGTAGCTCTTTTTGTGGGTCTACGACAATCTACAGGCAAGATAAACAACACTGCTGTTTCTACACTTTGCTCCAGACCGACCTCAGCGTACAGCTGTACTACGTAGTAGTATTGAAGTACCGCCGACTCTGTATCGAGAAAATTTTAAAGGAGGTTAAGTAAAGCAAAGCTACGTTTATTGCTTTACTTGGTAGTTTTAACGTAGAAGTACCAGACTAGAAAACAGCTCTGTCAACCAACTGCTCATTTGAAACAATCCACTACATATTACTAGTATACATGAAAAGTGTGCTGGTGTTTCAGCGTGAAAAGAGATGGTACCGGCATCCTACCAAACGTACAACACCGCGAAACATACGAATTTGCGCTTTGTAACAAGCGCCTTATTAATAACTGCCTACAGTTCACGCTAACGTGCTTCGGCGATTAGTCACCCTAATTAATAAAGAGTCTCTATGAGAGAGTCGGTCATGTCGGTCAGTTCGCTTCCCGCTGCCCACACCCCAGCTCGTTCTGTTTCAAGATGAAGACTTACTCCGCTGTTGCCGGAGCGTGCTTCATGCTGGCTTACATGTCTCCAGCCCATGCCATCGAGCGCAAGTTGATTCTAGGTGGAGAGATCATCCCAGCAGGCACCAAGACTTACACGACTGGTATTCGCCGAACTGCTAGCGGTAACAACGTCTGTGGTGGGACTCTGATCTCTCCCACCCATGTGATCACCGCGTCACACTGTGGCAGCAGCTACGACATTCGCTGGGTGTCCGTGGGCTCGCACTATATCAACGGAACAACCGACGGAGAGCAGATCAAGGTCGTGTCCATCATGAACAATCCCAACTACGAGTCTGAAGAGTTCCCAAACGACTACGCTATTCTTGAATTAGCGAAGCCTAGCTCCTTCACACCGGCAAGGCTTGCAGCCGGGGATGACTCTGATTTTGCTCCTGGCAAAACTGCAATGATGTTGGGATGGGGTTACACCTCAGACAACGGCACGGTATCCTACGAGCTTCGAGGCGTGGACCTCCCTCTGTGGGACGATGAGAACTGCACCAAAAAAATGGACACAGACAGCTCGATGCTTTGTGCTGGCGGAATCGCGAATAAGGATTCCTGTGAGCGGGATTCAGGCGGTCCGCTGATTCTTGAGACGAATTCGCAAGACATCCTAATCGGCCTTTCGAGCTGGGGTCCGTCTCCCTGTGGCTTTGACGGCGCTCCTGGTGTGTACGCGCGCATCTCACATGCTCGCCAGTGGATTGATTCCATTGTTAACGGGACCTGCCTTGCGTAGGAGAAACGTTCTCTTTTTTATGCTGAAGAATCCTTAATTGGGTTGGTCAATAGTGCTTGCTAGGGATCAATTTTTACTTACCACAACTAAGAGCTCGAACTATATTACATGTATACATATATGTACAATACAAAGAGGGACTACGTTTTACAAACCGTCATATACTACACTACAGCTTGTGAACCGTTCTTTTCAAATACTGTCCATGTATCCGATAGCATGCTACCAAGTATTTGAAGCTGCCGGGGCAACAGGTTTGTAAGCTCCCATTGAGCCGGAGTACAGCCATGACATTGTCATACTTGTGTATAGCGTTTGAAGGCAATCAGGCTGATTATCAGCAGCACTGCTTCGAGCTGTATTACTGCTAGTAAACACGAGTTCAGCGGCCAAGTTGGCCATCATGAACCATGCGCTTGTGAGAGTCACAAGTTGTGACGCAGTTTGAATCAAACTTTGACGTGGCGTCTTCACTAAAGCGAGTCGCTAACCTCGGGCTCATCTGCTCGGCACCACCACCATTTGCACTCTCATCGTGATCACAGGCACTCTTCAAAAAGTGAACTAATACTGTAACGCATTCCAAATGGTTGGCAACGTGCGCAACGAATGCTGCCCTGCCCTCTCCGCTGCCCTCTCCGCTGCCCACTCCGCTGCCCCCCCCCCCGTGTTGTGGCTGCCATCATGCACGAGGGCCTAAGCACCAGTGGACTAATTGAGAAGCGCGCAAATACATTGAGACAGCGAAACGATCAACGACAAAAGTGCAGCCATTCGAGTGTGCAACGCTTCAAGCTCACGAGTCAGCTCAAGCGTCGCATAACGTGTCGCTTTCGAGGTGATCCCTTTCGCATATGTCCGCAGTGATTCCTTTTCAATGTTTGTATTTCTTCCAAACGAAGGGTGACAGTACTGCATTTCCCATCTTTTGGGGAACGTTCCTCGGGGACCAAACGCAACCGTCGCGTAGGTTACTTTCTGCGCGACGAAGCGACACCAAATAATTGTGATACTAGCACAATGCACACCCAAAATGGCCAGCTCGGCAGCGCTTCATGATGAAGTCAACGATGCAAGTGCTTCCCCGCATACAGTATGTGGCCAGGTGTCAGCGGAGCCCGATGGCGCTCCGCCAATCAGCACCGCGCGCGAACCAGGTAAAAAAGCCTCACCTTGCTGATCCTGATTTCTGCGCGTGGATAGGGCTAATTTGGGCATTTTACCCAAATTAATAGGTTTACATCTAAATATTTTCAAATAATTTATTTTTTTAAATTAAAGAGCTTCATTTCACTTTCGTTTATGAATTTCATGATTCTAGAGCTACCCATTGCTCAGAATTTTGGGCTAGGTCTGCCCACCGAGTTGCCCCCTTTCTTTCGTCGCGTGGGCACTGCGCACGCGAAGCTCACATCTCAAGCGGCAGGTTAGGACAGCAAGTGGCTCGACTGGCAAGCCCGCTATCACTTTGTGTATATCCGTCCGCCTTCTCCTACCACCACATCACTGGTACCATACTGTACAGGACGACAGTGCTAGACGATGTCGCAACAGGTCAAGGACGTATATTCGGGCATCAAGAAGATCTTCCCGGGCTCTCGCCGCAGCGGGAGCTTCTCGTTCACTGGCCGCATGAGCTCCGCCGATCTGGACGCGGAACTGTCGGCCGAAGCGCAGGCCGCTGCTCGTGAGAAATCGTCCAAGAAGAAGGAGGGACGTCACTCGAGCTTTTCGTTCTCAGGCTGGAAAGACAAACGCGCGTCGTCCGAGCCCACGCCTCCCGTTGTCATGTCTCTCCCCTACGGAGCTCAAGCCGCCACGCCCAAGGCCAAGAAGGCGCCCGAGAAGGGCGAGCGCAACTCGCTCACTCAGACGCTGAGTAATGCCTTCCACTCGACACCCAGCCGCAGTCTCTTTGGCAGTAGCAGGGGCAACAAAGTGGCCAGTAAGGAGCAACAGGGACGACACAGTACCAGTCGCAGTAGTCGCAACTCCAGCAGTTCCAATGACGCTACGACTCCGCATTCCTCCTTCTCTACCACGTCCTTCGACCTGCCCACGCAGCCTCCCACGCTCGGCAATAGAAGTGTCAGTGCCGGAGGAGACCGTCCTCCTTGTATGGGGAACCGTACGCTGCGCAACAGTGGCGTCCATGGCAACATGGCGCTCCAGCTTCAACCTGGAGCGACACTAGGAGCTCCGCCTTCCTCTGGAGGGAGCTCAAACAATCGATATGGACAAAGGAGCAAGGTTCGCCACAGTTTGGCCAGTTTCAGTACCGTAAAGAACGCACCAAGCTCGTACCAGTCAAGTTCGACCTCCTTCTCGGACCTTACGGCAGCCACTGCAGCTTTGCATTCTTCTCAGGCTCGTCATTCCTTGCAGCCATCGGACTGCACTCCGCAACAGAATAGCACCGTCTTCTCCCCGGCGAAGAGCAAAGCGGGCAAAAAGCGAGTGAAAAAGGAGCGTGGTATGTCGCTGTCCTTCTCGTCTTCAGCTAGAAGAGAAAAGAAGAAAGAGAAGGAAGAAGCAGAGCTCGCTAAGCGCGCGTCGTACTCGAAGAACGAACAGGCAGTAGTCAAGCCCCACGCGTCCACGTGGGACTCGGACAGTGACGACGACTACGAGGATACCAAGCGGCCTACTCGTGGCCTGGACCGTCGCTCGCAGAGTATGGACTTCATGGAGCAGGCGCCCACGCACCTCATCTCGAAGATCTGGCGCAAGTTGCCGATCCAGGCGCGTCTTATCGGCGGCCGTGGCAACATCGATCTGGACCTGCAAAAAGACCGTACGAGTTTCTCACGCAGCTCCGAGGCGCGCAAATTTGCACTTGCCGCTGAAAAGGCAAAAGCGGCGGAGTTGCATCGTCGCTCTATTTCGGGACGCAAAGTCCCGAGTCCCGTACCTACCGAGGAGGTGCTGTCGCCAGGTGTCGCCAAACGAACACGGTTCAGTTTAAATCCGACGATTATCCTTTCGGACGCGAACGACGGGGCTTCTGGCGCGTATACTGCTGTGGAGAGCTACGACGATGTGCTGGTGCGTGTGTGCAAATTTGCAGCGCACGATCAGCGACCTACCACCACGAAGGTGCAGGAATTCCTTGAACGCTCCATGGCTTTCCTTCATGGTACGCGCACAAAGCACGGTAATGTGGTGAACATCGCGAACGAGGAGATCCGCATGTGGCGTCGACTGGCGTTGCATGATTGGATGCTCGAGGAAGTGACGACGGCCCAGGCCGCTGCGGCTCTGGGTGTCAAGGGCAAAGACGTCGAGGCGCCGTCGTCGCGCACCAGCTCTGCCGTAACGGAGGGTACTGATAGTGATAGTGACGGCCAGTCGAAAGCTCGCCGAAGACTGCACAGCTTATCGCTGCATCGATCTCTAAGTGAAAGTGTGGTTGAAGAAGAGCCAGAGGAGGAGGGAGAAGAGGAGGAGCTAGAGGTGCCGTCCAACACGAAGTTCGACAAGCTCTGCGGCGTCGTCAACTGCTGCGTGAACTTCGGGGAAGTTCTCTTCTCGCCCGATGAGATTGGCGACCTGGTGCGTCTTGAGTTCATTGTGGAGGAGGACGGCTGGATCTAGGAAAGTTGTGAACAAGCTTAAAGATTTTTAGTTATAAGTGAAGGGACCCACCAAATATATGAAATCCAAGAATGCTTGGCTATAATACTGCAAGCTTTGTTTTTTTTTTCGTCTTGATGCAACAGGTTCTGACAAAACGCGTCACACTAAAATCATTTGGCTAGAGTTTGCGTATCAACCTTCCTTCGGTTCGAAGCGCAAATAAAATGGGGCAACAACTTTGTTGCATCTAAATTCTGACATTGCACAGACGCACAATGTCGCGTTTCCGGAACTGAAACTGTCCGCAGTAGACACACGAGTTGATAATGGCCACAAGCATCGTCAAGTCCCTGGAGGACGAAATGGGCGGCGGGTTGAGCCACGACACGGGCTTGCATTTGCGTTTCTTCTTCTCGTCGCTCGTGTCAACGCTCTCGTCCTCACTCACCTGTTCTGCCACTGCGTTGCTCTCCTTGCTGTGTTGACGTCGATGCTTTCGGATCCATCCGGAAACGGCGCGACGGAACTTCGGCTTGCCTGACACCTGACTGTCCTGGCTGCGCATACTCGAGCTGGACGACGTCGAGTCCACACTGGCGGTGCTCTCCAGTCGTCGGAAACTCGTTCCGATCGCCGACATGACCGACGTATGTCCATTGGATTCCACCGACTCCGTACGGTCGAGTCGTGGCTGTGCCACTGTCATTGGTGGCGGTTTGCGATGGTTCTTCTGGAACTCGCGCTCCTCCGCTTCCCAGTCGAAATGAGCGAGACGTCGCCAGCGCTTGACGTCGTTCCCTGAAAATCGTTTGTCCTCTCGGAAGCCAGGAAGCCACGGGGTGTCGCCCTGCGGATATCCCAAGAAGACTGCCGAGCGGTAGAGGAACTCGGCGATCATGAGCGGCACAGAGCGCTCAAGAGGCGGCTCTGGGTCGTAGTAATCGTCTTCTGACGACATGCTGCCGGTCGGGTCGTCCCCCCAGTCTTCCGGGTCGTGTAGGAACGACATGGTGTGGAACAGACCGGCCACGTTGAACACCAGTTCGTCGTAGCTCTCCACTTTGGGCGGAGGCACCACGTCGGGCGCGTACATGTTCTTGAACGTCACCTTCCGACGGCGACGGGACTTACCGACCGACATGCTGGGCACGGACTGGTGGCGGGCTAGAGAGAAGCCTCGACGGCGCGCAGGGGTGTCACCTGTTGCTGCTGGGACTCCGGGCGCGCTCTTGCCTCGCGGGCGCTGCTCGTCCTGTGGTAAGCTGTCGCTTCTGGGCAGCGACGTCTTGCGTTGAACCTGCTCGTGCCAGGACAGCACGTCCGTGTCCGTGCGGGTGTCGTTCATCGGCACGGAGGTCTGTGCTTCTACCAGCCTGTTCGACGGAAGCCTTGTAACCTGCTGCAACCTGCACGCTGCGGCCGTCAATGGCTTTTCAATAGCCAGGTCCCGTTGTCCGCGCGAAGAACACAAGTCGGGAGCTGCTCAAGTCTGCCGTGCCCCGCCTTTCCAGATCCGGCTGTGTGTCGAAATGACGGCTTCAGGAAAACAATCGGCATAGTGAAAGCAAGATGTTTTAGCTGTTACGACGGTGATCAGCGTTTGGAACCCGACAGATGACGAGGGAATGGCGGGCACGTTCAAATCAGAAAAGAAGAGATCGATGGCAACTTGGCGCAAGTCGAGCTTGGCTTGACGTCACTTGAGTGAAGTACAGTACCGGTATTATTAATACATGTACTGCGGCTGAGATCTGCAAATTTTGTCAAGAGCAACTCGAAACATCATGGGCAGCGACTACAGATACATGTAGTAGTGGCTGTGCATGCAGTCTACATGTATTATACTGTACGTGATGCATGAGAATACGGAAGCTACATTTACCTGGGAAGCTGTGGCGATAAGAGTGCCACTTGCAGCAAGCCCACTCTTATTAAAAGCAAGTCACTTGCGAGCGTGGACCAAGACTGCTGAACTGTACCAAACAGGAAATAGAGGCGCTTCGACCGACATGAAAAATTATGCTATACAGTACTTTTACACTATAACACTACAGTACTGTAGTTGCTGTACCGTGCAATACATTTTGATCGCACTCAACGAGTCTGAAGTTTTCCTATCCTAATCTATTTGCCATTGCGCTGGTCGCCAGCTTCAGCTTTTCTCCACGGAATAATGCAGCACCGCTGTGCTCACACCAGATCCGCCACGCTCAACTGGCTGCGTGTCGAGTTGGTCGAGATCAGCCTCTGGTTGAACGGCAGCAGGATCGGCTGCGGGTTCCTTCCTGCCTGTTCCAGATCGCCGTCCTCTGCCGTGCTGGACGACGTGCCAGACGTGTCCGTGTCGGTCGAGTCGCCACGCGCACGGGCCAGATCTCGTCGCGCCTCTTGCGCTGCTGCGGCGCTCTCGAACGCCGCGGCAGCTTGCAGCACTGGACTGAGACGTTGGACGGACTGGAACATGCTGGTCTTGGGCTGGTTGCGACGCTGACGATGGTGATATTCCTTGGGGATTGAGATGATCTCGCGCAGTTTGGCCTCAAACCGGCGCTGGTACCGTACCGGGTCTATAGCTGACAATCCCTCGCCATCTTTCTGTTGGACATCCACCTTCCAGAAGCGCTCGAGTCGTTTCTGTAGCGTCCACGTCTGTAGGATATCGATGATGCCCACGTAGTAGTAGCCAGGCCCGAACACGCGCTTACTCTTCCGCATAGAGCGCTTAGGGCGCGGTTCTCCACCGGCCGAGGGATAGCGCGACTGGTTTAGAGGGTCCTCTGGCTGGTTGAAGAGAGAGTGCACGCTTGGCGCTACACTCATGCTAAGCTTCTTGGGGGGCTTGACTTCCTCTTCCTTAAGCTGTATATGCTTGCTTAAGGACGAGGAACTCCCAGTAGACGAGGACCAGTTCGACGACGACGACGCTGAGATGAAGCTGTCGTTGCTTATACTGTTGGATGCAGTATTAGTGGCCGTGTTAGCAGCCGTGCGTTCGCTCAAGACGGAGCTGTTAAGCGGTCTCGAAGGCTGATCCACGACGAACTCGATGTCCATAACTCCTAAGAGCAGACTGTAGTCCATAATCCCCAAGTCACAGAGGAACATTGAGTCGTCACGTAGTTGCTCGTACAGCTCGACGCCTTCCTCCGTCCCGATCCGCATCCTGGTCCGCAGGTCGTTGTCCTTCAGAACTACATTCGGTTCGTGCAGACCCACGACGTTCGGACACTGCAGTAAACTCTTCTTCGCGCCATACTTGAACATCATGGAGCAGTGACGACATTTGACCTTGGCGCCGCGCCGTGGACGCTTGTAGCTTCGGTTCACCCACGAGCCTTTAACGTCGAATCGATGGTGGATCTGCACGCCTTCCTCCATCACATCAAACAGGTTTTCCATCACGATAAAGTAGAAGCGTTTGTCGTACATGGTGATCTTGAAGCAGCCGTAGAATTTGGTGACCAGAGAGCTCGGGTTCAGCGTCAAGTACTCGGCGTACTTGTCTGCGATCTCACACAAGAACCGCGCCTCTTCTTCGGCCATCGACTTGACGATATACTTTTTGTCGCCACTGAAAAACATGAACGCACCGCTGGCTCCTTCGCTAATATTTGGCTTTGTACTCGTCTGGAAAGACTTCATGAAGTCTGCCGCTTTGATTCCGTACGCCTGACGCAGCTCCGCAAACGCCTGCGGTCTGTACGGCGTAAACCGGATAGAAGCCGTGGTGGTAGCGGTAGTGCCCGCCGCAGGAGTTGGAGATCGCTGGCCTGACGTCGTCGGAGCTGTTGAGGCAGACGAAGGATTGTGGACACGACGATCCCCAGTCGACTGCATGGACCGCTGCTCTTGTGGGATGTCGAAGCTAAAGTCCGGCTCCTTGCTGAGCTTCTTCTTGGCGCGTCGAGCGTCGGCGTCGGCGCTACTGTTGCGATGCAGTCCAGCGTTGATGGCCTCGGTAATACTGGTGAGCATCCGGTTTCTCTGCATACTGTGCAGTAGATTACTACTACTCCCCGCTCCAGGAACGCCCGTCGCTGTCGTCGCAGCCTCACCGAGTGACGTCCGGTCGCCTTCGTCGTCACTTACGCCCAATACAAGCTCCTGCGTGGGCGAGCGATCTCGAATCCGATTCAAATCTTCTTCTGCAATTTGAATTGCGCGCGTCATCCCCTCGATCGTAAAGTAAATGAGCTCTTCCTGTAGCGCTGTGTTCAGCTGCGCGCTAAACTGTTTGTCGGCCGAGTCGGACGAGAATTTGAGCCAGTTGGGGCGGATCAAACTGGGACTATTTATCATAAACCACACGAAATAGTCCACCGCGCCACGAGCGGACAGCGCAAACGTGAAGGCGCGGAAAACGTGACTTGGCGGTAAGTTGCCGTCCTCGTCGTACGCTGTGCGCCTCTGGAAGGACAGGGCGTACCAGATGAACACAATCGTCCAGTAGATGGTGTAGCTCGAGATGGAAAGCGCCCCGTTGCGCAGCATCTCGCGGCGACTCTGCAGCGTGTCCCGCAGTCCCGATCGGAGTCGTTTGACGCCAAAAACCAGCACGGCAATGCCCGAGATGTAGAAGAGAATCATCCACATGTAGAAAAGTAGCCAACTGCCTCGGTTAAGGTGGAAAAAGTCGCGCTCCACAGGGTCATCCGTCGTCTTCCGCTTGGTCCAGCAGTAGTTGCCATCTGCCAGGCCATGGACACTAGGCACCAGCGCAGCGAAGATGCCGGTGAACGCTCCAGCCGAGTAAACCATCGTCTTGAACCGCCTTCGGTTGGCCTTGACGCTCATAAACGGGTTCGTGAGGGACCAGTAGAGATCCACAATCTGCGCAAAGTACCAGCAATCGCTTGACAGATACAGAAACTGTGTCACACCCGAGAGATACGCACACGACGCGTCGTCATTCACTCGGTACACGCCCATGTCCAGCAGCATCGGGTCTAGCAGGAATCGCAGCGCCAAGAAGATGTCGATGACACATTTGTAGTAAATTAAAGGGTTCGGGTGCCTCTGGTAGCTCTGCACGCCGTGGTACGTCACGAAGACGCAGACGCAGAGGATGAGCGTCAGCAGAGAGCCGAAGACGAGGCCCGGGTCGATTTTGTACCCATTGAGCGAGTCCACTGTTTCCGCCAGAACGATCATTATGACCAATAAGATCACGCCCACGGACAATACGATGTAGCCTTCCTTGATCCAGTTGCTAAAATCCACTTGGGGTTTGAGAATTTGTCCGATATTCTCGTCCAATCCGCCGCTTTCGTCGATGACGTCCAGGTCGAACTCTTGGTTTGGAGACAGTTCCAGTGGGTCGTTCACGGTTGTGCCTCTGCCTATTACGCCGAAGAAACTCTTTCTCAGTGTACCCACATTGGACGACATCCTGGACAGCACTGTGTCTCTCATAGCGAAGGAGCTACGGTGCGACGTCTTGCTGTTGGGAGGCGTCCGTCGAAACCTCAAACTGACGCCCGAGTCGTCCAATCCAGACTCGGATGAAGCTGCAGAATGTTGAGAGGAGCTCAGTCGGTCCCGTTGCCGTCTGGACTCTGCGTCCACTTGCACGTTGTGTTCGATGGAGACTCTTCGAGTAATTTTGGGCTTCTGTGGGCTATTGGGATTGCGCAGAGCGGATTTAAGCGGAGATTGCGAGTCTGCAGAGCCCGTGGACGGCTCCGAAGGTGGTGATGTGGTCGTGATGTTGACTGGAGGCCGCAGGACCGAATGCATCGGCGACGAGAGAGGCGAAGGTGACACGGAAAAGTTCGACGTGCCTGTGTCGCCCACAGACCGATCCATAATACGCGAAGACTGATGCGGTGACACGGAGAATGCGGAGTTGCCTGTGGCGATGTCAAACTCGTCGCTATTGCGCCGCGGCGGCCCCGCGTGACCAGCTCGCGCATCCATGTGGGTCGAAATGAGGAATGAAGCATAATCTGAAAGAGTGGATTCTCAGAGGTCGCATGCAAAATCCAAGTCCTTTTCGGCGGACACCTGCGAAAGCCGATTGCAAAAGTGAAGCCAAGTGTTAGAAAAATGGATTTGCACCAACATGTGCGAAACGAACGAAATCAGGCCAACTTGCAGCCCGCAAGTTGCGGGTCATAATGACAGATTGTCAACCCACATAACGAACAGATAATCACTGTAGCAGCTGCAGCACTATCGGATGCATGCTACGTTAGGTATGCTGAGGAAGCTATAATAGTGCTGGCCGGCGCAATCAAGGACAGCACAGCCTGTACGTGATACAGTTTTGATGGATGGTGTATCAGACACCAACTTGTGAAGCAATCCTTTTTACGGACAAACTAAGGTCGTAATTACGCAGCCGACTGAATTGGCTGGCTGGCAGCCCGACGCTTTTGGCTCGCTTCCAATAGCGCGTCAGTCCGAATAAATTCCTTCCAAAATGGTGCGTGTGTATGGCGTTTGCATGGGCTTCGGATGCGTTTAAGTCGCCGATCAGCAGGAAAACAGGGTGACACGTACATGATCTAGCTCTCCGTTCAATGGCGCGTCGCCCGGACTGCTTTAAGTGCCGAAAATCGCGTCGGAAGCAGTAGAAATACAGAGAATTCACAGCATTCTAACTAGCTATATCCTCCTTGTGTTGCGATTGCAGCCGTCGCACAAGACCTTCCGTACCAAGCGCATCCTCGCCAAGAAGGCCAAGCAGAACCGCCCGATCCCTCAGTGGATTCGTCTGCGCACTGACAACACCATCAAGTACAACGCCAAGCGTCGTCACTGGCGTCGCACCAAGCTCGGCCTGTAAGCGGCAGCAGCTCGGATTGGACAGTTTTACAGTTGGACGAGGTCTCTCTGGACCCTGGCGTGCGATTTCGTGCTGGATTAACTGCTGGAGTTGCTGGACTGTAAAAGGACCAACTTATTAGCAGCGGATAACCGGAACGAATTCTATTGAGAAGGACGACCCACTTTCTCGACTCGATTTTTAGGTTTCCTGCTGACGAACTGCACGCTTGTCTACCTAGCTGGATACAGGTGCAGGAGTGATGGTCTTGCAAGTTTTTTACAGCAACAGGTGAAATGTGTTGTACCTTTGCAATTTAGTGAAGACTCTGGCTACTTTTGCAACCTAGTCATCGTCGTCGGCGTCCTTGGTCTCGCCATCGTCTTCGGCGTAGTCTGGCTCGTAACGCTGCAGTCGGCGACGTAGGTCCTGCAGCTGCTGATTCTTGGTCGTCACCATGCGCTTCATCGACTGGAACTGCGCCGTGTGCGCGACGTGCTGTCGTCCGTCTTCCACCTGCTTCTCGAGCTCCTCCACACGCTCACCGGCCAGCTCGAGCTTCCGCTCCAATTTACGCAATTCCTTGGTGTGTGCTACTTCCAGAGCCTCTTTCTGTTGCTTGGACGTCAATTTCGCCGCACGAATCTCCTCCTCGTGCTGCTCCTGTTCATGTTGAAGCTGCTTCTCTAGTTTATCTTTCGCTTCGGCGTCGACCTGCACTTTTGCCTTACTCTTCGGCATGGCTCCGATCTGTGCCGCGCTGCTCGAGTCTCCACTGGTCCATTCAGATACACTCAGCTGCTCCACACGCTCGAGCAGCTCCTTGTCTTCCACCATGGCGATGTCCAGGTCCAAGGCTAGATCCTGTTCAAGATTATTTCACAATTAGTCGAAAGTTCATTTTTAATTTGCTAAACCGCAGGACGTACGCTATCCTCGGCCTCGATGAAGATCTGACGCAGCAATAACGCCATCATGTTGATAGTGTCTTGCAGCTCACTGCGTATATTAGCCTACGATTGTAGAAACAAGTTCAGTGTCAGGAGCTGCACCTTGCGCACGGATTTATTTCGCGCCTGTACTGTACCTTGACGGCGAAGCATAGCGACGTGACGGCTTCCTGGATGTCTTTCTGGCTGTAAACTTCTTCGGACGACAGCCGATCCGACCGAGTGTCTTCGAAATCGGCTTCAACGTTCTCCAAGTGCGTCTTGAGACGCGAGCGGAAGAACTTGAGGAATTTGCTCAGCTACCAACATACGACGTGAGACTTGTAGGCAAACAAACCATGGGCTTTTTTCATCGACGCCACCTCTTCTTGGTGATGCTCGCTCACGCGTCCAGGCATGTCGGTGTTATCAAGTTCCGTTTTGGATCGGAGATTAAGAAAAATAGGACGGGGTTGAGCAGGCGCGGCGTCGTTTCACGCGCGTTTACTAAGATCGCATTAGACTTTTACAATTTACTTAAGTAGGCTTTGTTGACACGATAACGACGGACCTAGAGGGGGGGCTTATTCGTCGACTGCGTTCTTGCTGAATGGACTTGTAGAGCTTCGAACATTGTCGCATGAAGTCGTGCTCTGACTCGGTTCGATGGTTCTGCGACTGCTGCGTACAGTGGATCTGTCTCGCTACCCATTGAGGTCTTCGGGACGGAGCGCGAGGGTTCATGGCTTTCTTCTCCCACAGTAACAGACCTTCTTCACCCTGGTTAGCAGAAGAATCACCACATCCACTAGGTAAGTGATCCTCGTCACGCTCAGTGTCAGAGACTGTATCGAGAGCCTTCACTGGAGGTAGATTCCGCTTTTGTTGGGCTTCCAAACGCTTGCGACGACGACGAGCTTTACGCTTCGCTCCCTCATTAGAAAGTTGAGCTCGGTAGATGCGCTGCTCCTCTAGACGCTGTGCCTCATGAGCTTCTTTTAACAAACACTCTCGTCGCGCTACCTCGCGGTCGACGAATTGCTGTAGTGTGGCATGTAACTTGCCTACAGTTTTGTCATTTGAAGAAGCATCCTCATCATCCAGCTCGTCTGATAGTTCATGGAACTATCCAAATTTAGTTCGTCAGTAAGAAATGAGAAAGCAAACAACTACCAAAAGTGTCTTTTGGATACCTTGATATGGCTGAACGTGGCAGGTAGACGAATGACGACAGCTCCTTTGTAGAGTAGCAAAGTGGCAAGCGTCTCGTTCTGGTTCTGGTATGCACACATGAGGGGCGATACACCCGTCTAGTCCATTGGACAAAAAAGCATCTCCAGTAAAACCTTTCACTGGCAAATGCGCAAAGGATATCGAAGTCATCACCTTGCAATTGATGTTGACGTCAGCGCCATGCTGAATGAGCCACGTCGCGACCCGCAGCAGATTGCGCTCGCACGCGATGTAGAGAGGTGTCTGGTTCAGCTAGCAAGCACCAGCATTTAGATGTTTACGGCAACGTCGAAACCAAAGGATACGTACCAGATTGGTCTGATTGATTTTCGCTCCGAAATGTAGCAGCTCTTCCAGTGTCTTTAGGTGTCGCTTCTGGTTCTTGTTGCCCATATCACCTCTACAATCTCATTTAACTGAGCCCTCATATGAAATAAATTACTGTTATCTACCAACCTGGCTGCGCAGATCATGGGCGAATCGCCTCGCTCATCGTCGTCCGTTCCAAGGGCTCCTTCCAGCCGACGAGAATTCGGATCCATGCCGTGTCTCAGGAGCTTCCGAACTGCCTTGTGTTTCCCTTGCGCAGCCAGTGCGTGCAGGTTGTCGAATCCCAACTCTTGGTCCAAAAAACCCATACTGAATGTCAGCATATTGCCAGATACAAGCGCTCACTTTCGCCCCCATAGCAGGAAAGGAAAGAACTTCAACGTTAGTTGCTGAAGTACTTGTTGCTATAAACGGGAAGCGATTTTATTGGCTAATTTGAATGTGGATTAACTAAGACTTGTCAAATTGCATTTGAAAATGGGCTTATAATTTTGATGATAGCCACTCACTCTTCTGTGCTCTCCACCATTCTTATACGTGCTACATGTACACTCCTACTTGTCATGGCGTGGTTGGTCACAGTTCACTGTCCGTTTCACTGTATCGTGCGTCGTAGCTTGTTCCGGAATTCTTTCTTGAGTGCCGACAGCACGTGAATGTCGTCGTGCAGATCAGCGATCAAGTGGTCCGGAGCCTTACTGTCCTTCCGCAACGTTGCCAATAGAACCTTCTTGTTGTGCAGCGACTCAAAGATCACCTCGAAGTTCTGCAGCAACAGCCCAAAATACTTCTGCTCCGCCAGTGCAGCGCGCATTGACACGTCCTGCGAGCTGTTGCTTGCGTTCGAGTTGGCTGTGTTGCTGCTTCCTTCTTCGCCTGTTGTCTCCGAGTTCTCGGTGCTGTTTTCTTCCGGTGAATGGCCCCGCGAGTCTCCACTGCCTTGCCCACATCCGTTGTCGCCCCCGTTCCCTCCATTAGTGGCCCCCGGGGCGTCAACACCAGGCGTATTACCACTGAAGGCTGCGATGGCACGTGCGCTGTTATATGCCGAGGACGCCGACCCAGCAGCCGCCGGGGACGACCGCTTATAGCGTTTGTGAGCGCGTAGCAGAGGAGATCCCGAGCCCACCAATGGCCCGGCTTGTTGCTGCTGCTGAGCTTGTTGCTGCTCGTGCGCGATGGACTCGGACGCGTCGCTGGTGCACTTTTCGTCAATGTATTCGTTAGACTTGATCAGATGCAACAGATCCGGCCGGAGATGCAGTCTCTGATGCAGATAATACACATCCGGTCTGCCGTCACAGAAGTTGATGTACTCTCGGTCGTCCACTCCTACAAAACCAATCAGAACACATAGCACGTATGTCAGCACTAGAACTTTTCACGACGATATCGCATTTGATATCTGCTGTCGCATCTCATCGGTTGGGGTCCACACTTCTCTTTTTCAAATTTATAAAAAAGAAAAGGTTGGACCCCCAGCAGGTTGAAGCGATATATAGGTCTTGCTCACTCTTGTTCATACCAGCAGTGGTGAACTCGAAACAAGTCTTGGTGTATGCGAAAGACAGCTCCTTCCAGATCTCCCACAGCTGCATGCTGCTCCACTTGAAATTGCGCGAGTTCGTGGCACTTCCTCCCGTTCCGATGGGTCCTCCTTCAGTTGCGGTAGCTGATCCAGGCGGATGTTGCCGACTCAACAGCGCGATGTACATCTCTCGCACGTCCACCCAGAACTGCCAACGTGACAGCTCAGCCGCCAACCGATCGACGAATTCGGGGGACAGCACGACGTCCACCAGACGGATCACGTCTTCGGACGTCACCGGCACCTCCTTGTACTGCGACTCGCCCTTGGATTCGTCATCCAGATAATATCCATTGCTGTTGGACTTGGGGCCACCGCGTTGCGGGTGTGGGGTCCTGTCTCCTCCACTCGAGGGAGGCGACGGACTTTGGCTGCCATAGTCGCCGTAGTTGCGCGATCTCGAGTTGTACGGACCGTATGGAGACTGTGCGGGGCCGGGACTGCGCTGGACATACCGCGATTGATACGGCACGTCGTGGCGTCCTCCCGACACGGAGCTGCCATTGTTGCTAGACGGGCGTCGAACTTCCATTCGTCGCTGCTGGGGCTGCTGCGACGACGAGATCTGCTGCTGTGAAAATGCGCCGATCTTCTCGGCGCTGGCAGCGTCTACCTTGTCTTTGAGGCGTTGATTTCGGTAATACCGGTATAACGCCTCCACCATCACATGCTTTTTCACATTCTTGAGGCCGCGAAGTTTGAGGTGCGAGCACTTTTTACGGAGCTGCTTGGACGTCCACGTTTCATATCGTGTGCTGTCACGCGGATGACGCGCCTCACCCGAAGGCTCGTACTGCATGGGATCTTCATTGGGCGGCATACCAAATGCCTGCTGCACTGTAGGCGACCGCGAGTTGCTGGGGCCTCTGCGAGTCGCGGACTGTGCGCCACCGGCGGCATTCGAAACGGCGGTTGCTGCTGCGGGACCCGAATGCTCCCACTGCTGGATCCCGCTCGACTGTAGCCAGCATATTGTTGCGGCAGGTGGCGCTTGAGTCCGCGAGTGGCCATACTACCAGCGCCAGTCCAAGACCCGCCCATTGCTGGAGATGACATTGGTGAAAGGTGGTCGTGGTTGTATGACGACGAACCCGTCGTGATTCGTCCGCCGTTGGCACCAAAGAACTGAGACTGCATCTGCGCAGGCGAGGATGCACCGCCGCTGGCGTACGGACTCGCGAGTACTTGACTTGGGTACATATGCCTCCGACCCATACCGGTAATATCCCGGTTACCGGCTGCAGCGGTACTGGCAGCCGAGGGGCTCCGACTATGCTGCTGAGCTGCCACTTGAGCTTGTGTCTGGGATCTCGTCGCGGTCGTGGTGCTCGGCGCACTACTGGCGTTGGCCGCGGCGCTGTTCGACCCGGTAGGCGCATGCAGCACCGCTGGCAGACGGCGCATGGGGCTGCTGCCGTCGCTGCCGGAGCTCTGCTGCACGTTACCTGGTCGGCCGTTGCCGTCACCCGAGCTGCTCGGACTGCTGCCGCTCGGACTGGTGTTGCTGCTGTCTGCATTCGAGTTGGTGTTGGTACTGGTGGTGGCAGTCGTCGTAATTGTCGTCATCGAGGTAGATGCCGTGTCGGCTGCCGAGCTTTGCGCGCTGGTAGACGGTGGGGCCGCCGTATCACGCGCGAGGTTGCTGCTCATGGCTGGGGCTCGAGGCCTGCTCCTACTTTATGGGGCTTTCTTGCTGTGTTGTAGTTTTTGATCTGGGGTTTCCCCAAGACACGATACAACAGATTTCGTTAGACTGAAGTCGTAAGTTGAAGCCCCTTCCTTTATGAGCAGGTCGGGCAGTTGCCTAACATTAAAAACGCACTCACGGGCCCTGGCTGGTTGGTTGTTGCTCTGGCCGCCGCAAATTCGCTTCTGTCGGCTTCTAGCGCCGGTGACCCGTGACCTGCCAAAATTTATGGTGGCCGTGAAAGAGATCTCTCAACGAACACCAGAGAATTCCTTGCCCGAATTGGTCACGTTCTGTTGCCGCACCACAGCGTTCTGGTGTTTGTTGCGCAAAGAAGGGGTCTGGGCGAGGGTACCTCGGAGGGGCGACACCTCATTCACAACCTCTATAACTGAGTGCGATTTTTCGGAAAAGTGGGCGGACTTCGGCGCACTGAACTCCGACCCTCGTGACCCTTTTCCAAGCGAAAAACGTAATGAAAGTGACGTGCAAGCTTTCAGGTCAATGAGCCATAACATGCACCAGACTATTCCTTTCTCCTGAACGGGTGAGCACCTCGCGAAGGCCCAACGCCAGCAAGGGCCGTTCCGATTGGGCGACAGGGCGTCGCACTAAAAAAATCGGAGACAACCGACCAAAGTCGGGTACGCCTGCCATCGGATTTAGTAAGAAGAATGCGACATGTGCGAATGGTTAATTTTATTCCCGCTGAGCTCCTAAAACAGCATTATTTTTCCACGACCACGAGTCGTGCTGTACCATAGAGCTTCGTTCGGGTGATACGTTTTTTTGCCGCTGCACTTCTAGTGTTTTGTGTTTGTTTCGCGGGCTCATGCGAAACTGCAATTAGCATTTTCGTCGCAGCAGCCACCTGCTGCCACTAACACATTGACATGTGAAGCTGACAGTGGAGGACATGGTGGACGCACGCAGACACCAAGCATGTCCCTTCCGGACGAATATGGTCGAATTCCAAAGCTGCATATATTTGATGCGCTCTTGCGTAAAGTGGGCCGGGCAGGCTACATGACGTCTTAGTGGCCACTTCGGAAATTTTCAACCCAGTGCTTCAACATTGCTTAAGGGTAAAAATAACTCGTTCTACTGTAGAAGCTGTTCTTCAATTTGTCTTCCATGTTTAAAACAATTTTTTCCTGTTTAAGAGGTTACCTGTTTTGAAATGGATTTTTGTCTCGCTAATGCTCTCGAAACCTGCATATACTGTAGTGAAATAGGATGATGAGTCGACCCTCTCCAAGCTGATGGTCGTCTTAAAATGAAACGACGACCACTGCACTTGTAGCCTGCATGTGCGGCAACAGTTCGCTGCAGCCAAGCGAAAATCAGTGCTAGTGGCCTTTTCAGCTTTTGTGATAAGCTGAATATTATTAATAGGTAGTGCACTCTTCATGTACATGGCTTGTTTGTATCTTGTACTAGTAATAGTGTGACTTATCTGCAGATGGCGAGTTGGCTGTTCCCGAATTGCACTACAGCCGACCTTTTGCATCTACCGATACCTCAACGCCGTAGCCGCAAGTTGCGGCCCGCAACGGTGTTGAGGTGCGGCGTAGCGTCAAAGTGGCTAAAAGTATTAAACATGTACCGGTACGGCAGTTTGTACCACAAACATAAACGACGGTGCAGTTTTCCCTCTTCAAGTTGATAAAGTGACTACATTACGCTCAGCTCACTGTCATTTAGGTCGCGTGGACTCGCCGAGATGCACGCGGGCATGGGCCGCCAGACGCTGGACTCGCTGTACCCGCAGGCGCGCAAGCTTCAGTTCGAACTAAAGATGCAGATGAGTTACATGGATTCGGGTCGTACAGGCGGCAAGACGGACGCTGAGTTACAAGCCGAGGCCCGCGGCAATCTCAGTACATTGGAGCAGATTCTGTGGCAACTGGACTCGCTCGTCCAGACGAGCTCCAAACCTGCAGAGAAGGACACATGGACCAAAAGGCTGCAGCAGTTGCGTAGCGAGACCCACGCTCTGGGCAGCACGCTGGAGCAACACATCTACAGCGTTAACCGTCGCGCAGTGGAGGCGCGAGAGCGCGAGAGTCTCATGAGCAGACGCAACGCGGTGCGAAGGCCATGAAGGGTTTATTGCCAAAAGAGGCTGCTAATCTGCTGTGTGGGTTGCTGTAGGGCTTCGACAGCGGCAATGGAGCCATGTACGCAGCGCAGGAGTCGGAGAGTCTCCAGCGGTCGTCCCAGATGGTCTCAGACCTCACGAGTCTGTCGCAGTCCATTCTGGGGGATCTAGGCGAACAACGTAGTCGCATGAAGGTGTGTAGTGTGTTTTGCGAAGAAGAAGAAGAAGAAGTAGGAGATTGATGAGGTTTTGTGTTTGTGCAGAATGTGCGCACCAAATTGCTGGATATTGCGAATAGATTAGGACTGTCGAGCTCTTTGCTGCGGGTGATCGAGAGGAGAGATACCGTGGACTTTTGGATTGTCATAGGAGGCATGATCTTCACGCTGGTCTTCCTCTACGTGTGCTATTCGTACGCGACCCAGAGCTAGAATGGCATGGACTGGGTAATGACAAATTGTCATTGACAATGCACAAAAAATCTCTAAAACGAGCTCTTTTTATCAAATGTTAACAGAGCGTGAGGCACAGAGATTCAATTTGAAAAACAACACGCGTCTTTGTTATTTTTGGTGAATGGGCCTTGATTTCAACATGTGAGAAGTTCTCACTGAGAGCTTTTGAAATTTGTCTCAATGCTTTGGTCACCTCGACTTTCACTTTCCCTTGGTGATGGAATTGATCCATTCCAAGGCCTTGGACACACGTGAATACACTCCGGGGTACCCCACACCACATTCGGATCCCCAGCTCACCAAGCCGACCACAATATCATCTTCATCTCCAGGGCCACGCTCCTTGATCAATGGACCACCCGTATCGCCGTCGCAAGAGTCTTTTCCTTTGACTCCCCCAGCACAAACCATCGTGTCGTCCACAGGATAGAGTTGTCCGCATTGTTCGTTGTCCCAGACCTGCAAGCTGACGCCCTGCAGCTCGTACGCTTTGGTTTTCTCGGGGTAACCTGTGTAGCCCCATCCGACGAGTTTGGACCACATACCCGCAACGATATCGGAGTCATCAGCAGCTGGGAGCTTCACAGGCTTGAACCTGCTTGGCTTCTCCAGCGTCAGCAAAGCAACATCGAAAGAGCCGCTGGTGCTGTTGAAGTTTGTGTGGTTTTGGGCCGCCACCACTTTGATCTGCTCCCCATCGTGCGTTCCGTTGAGGTAGTGTGTGCCCACAGACACCCAATTCGGCGGCTTGATACCACGAAGACACGCCGTCGTCGTAAGAACATGCGTTGGGGAGATCAGCGATCCTCCGCAAAAATTGTCGCCATCAATGGTAGGGCGGATTCCGGTCGTGTACGTCTTCGTGCCGCTGGGAACAACTGCTCCACCAAGAACCAGCATTCGGCTGACATGGTCAGTAGTGGCAGAGACGGCTCCAAGCGCAATTGAGGAGGCGGCGACAGCAGAGATGATCTTCATGGCAAGAAATTTCGTGGATGCTTGAGGTGTTGGTCGCGAAACTCGAAATGAACGGAAAGCGGAAAACAGGTCAATTTGAAAACGTGTGGCACACTCAGGCATAACTTTTTTTTTCATGCAGCGTAATGCTTGACAAGGAGATGAAGCTGCATGCAATCGCACGATACCAATCTCAACGATCAAAAGCTGGCATAGAACTTTTGCTAGTGCTGAAGAATGAAGAGGCTTTTAATAGACCAGGTATATCTGGTCTTTCTTTAAACGATGTGGAAGGGTTTTAAAAGTGTAATCGTAATCTTTAGAGACTCGTAAACAAGATTACTAGCCAGCGATTCTGGAGGGTGAATATCGATGTGCAGTGGAGCAAAAGTCCCCTACCGGTACTCGACATTTGTACTGTACCTAGCTAATACTACCTCTGGTCCGAAATGATGGTGTACCATCCTATAGCATACAATCATATTATGAAAAATTCAACCGAGCGGTCTCCCATAGGAAGTTCGTGCACTCGCGACAAACATTTCGACCTGTCCTTCCTCTTTCTATCGGAGGTTTCCTTGATGCGACGTTGCCACTCCCCTCTTTCTACCCCTGCGGTGACGCTGATGCAATAGCGGGTCTAGATTTTGCCTATAGTGGACGGACTGCGCTTAAAGTCTCTGGTAACGTCCGCCTTTGCTCCATGGGTAGATCTCCGTCAATACTGAGTCTTAGAAGCTCGTTGATGATGCAACGGCGATGACAATCGGTCAGGTTGGCCAAAGAGAAGTCGGGGAGCACGGATAGCGCGTAGTGCTAGCTGAGCGGGTACTAGAAAAATGAGGAAGAGGGTGACCGTCTTTTCAAATAGATGTAGCTCGGCCCCCAGTACGCTTTCAGCGCCAATTAAACCACCAGCCAATAGCTGGCGAATACGCGCTCCTGCTAGACCAATAAGATTTTGATAAGAATTGCTGAACTTGTTTGTAAAACTACATTTAAGTAAGGCAGTCGTTATATCACCCGAATGGCAACATGCATTAGGATTTGCACACACCCGAGTGCGCCCGAATGTGTCCGAGCTACCCGAATGGGGGCATTCGATGTATACATGCGAATCATGTATAGCTGGATAAATAGCTCAGTGAAGTGTAGCCAAGTTCAATGACATCCCAGGCAGTGTCAGAGTAAAATGCATCAGAAATGTAAAGTCTCATATTATGCCGAAGAAACTTACACAGACATACAGAGGTACCGGTATCGTAGAAGCTGCAACCTTTGCTTGTTCACATATCCCACGTCAGAAGCTCCCGTAAAGGCTTCGAATGCCAAGAGAACGTAAATGCCACAATTGTAGTTGTCGGTCTGGATACCAATGCTCGATACGTACGACTGGTGATGATACCTATCCTTCGGTATCGGTAGGACCCCCACCAATTTGTGCGCGATAGCTCGGACGCTGGCCGCATAGGATGATGACATCGGGTCGTAAGTGTATATGCTTTCGGTCGATAGGTCGATTATGATAGCGCACCAATGATTTCCATTACAATTGATGGGAACGAGCACCTTTTCGTCCGAAACCCCGGCGAAAAGAGACGCAAGGCCCTCCATGTCTGTAGTGTTTTTCCCGTTGACAACTACACCGACGTGGCTCGAATCAATGGTGACCACCCCTGGTGTGGACGCAAACATCACGTTCATCACCGCATACATGCACTCGTCCCCGAGTGACCCTCTGGCAGCAAGGTCTAGTAGATGTATCTGTGCTCCAATGTTAGTCTTACTAGCCTTATTTCGAGGTAGTACAGTGACAAGATGACGTACCGAGTCAGAGCGAATCTGTAGCTGCTTAAGCTTGCTTGGTATCTCATGGTCTGCTTCAATAGTGTAGTCCGGGCTAAGCGGCTGGGTGAAGTCGATTCGGCTGATCCAGTTCAGCGTTTTGTCAATAGAGTCGAAGATTGTAATTGCGTGATGCCAACCTTTCATCATTCGTAATGTCGTTGTTGAGAACACACCCAGACTAATAATCTCGACCGATACGTCTCTCTCCGATAATCCAGACGTTTTGCGTTGAAGCGCGGAAACCTTCGCGACACACTTTCTGAGTATGTCTTTGGAAAGCACTCGAGTCAGCAAACTTGAGTCTGTCAGCGTCTTGCCTGCAGGGAGTTTGCTCGTCTGTCGGGCCACTGGGGGTTTAGGCTTAGTCCCAAATGTATACACTTGTAGTCGTCGAGCAAGTTTAGCGGAGGATGAATAGGTAGCGTTCGTGGAAAGGCTTTCGTGAGCGGACCGCAAGCTTATTTGCAAGTCAAACAGCGTTGAATCTGCCTCTACACTCCGAATCAGCCTGTTTCGGTTTGCTTTCTTTGCTTTTGGCGTGACTTTAGGTCTCCCTCGTTGACGCACTGGACTCGCAATTTCGAGCTCCACATCTCTGTCTTCAATGTCAGCTGTAGATAATCTGAATGTAGTCGCCTGTTGATCTCCTTCACTGGCTTGAGCTACTGATGGTGTTTCATTGACTGGTTTTGATAGTGCAGAAATGCTATGTTCGGGCACAATCGGTCTCGGTTCAGGCACAGTTGGTCTCATATTAACCGCGGTTGTAGGTGGCTCCGGTTCACTTGGTTCTTGGATACATGCACTTGTTTTCGGGGCAGTCGGTTTCGATACACTCGCAGCTTGCTCGGGGATGATCAACCTTAAATCGGGCACAATCGGTCCTGCTTCGGGCACGGTTGGTCTTGATTCGGGCAAAGTTGGTCTTGGTTGGGGCACAGTTGGACATATGTCGGCTAGATCGTGAGTGTTGGCCTCCTCTGTGACACAGGAGGTCCTAGTCTTACTGCAATGATCGCCCACGGCAAGCAAGCTCTCTTCGGTATGCTCAATATCAGCTTGACCAAACTCACAGTCGCCACAATCATCCACATCGTCACCCGCACCTGTGGTCTTTGAAACCAGGATGGTAGGTCGTTCCGTTTCGGTTTGAAGAAGCCTCTCAGACTCCTTGTGCTTTATGATACGAGACACCGATTGGAGAAACTTCATTGCAAGCTGGTAGTCCTTCATCCCGAATCCGGCCATTGTGTCACTGATAGAGCTAGCTATCAAGTTTGCCTCCCGATATTTTCGGTTAGAGTCCCATGTGGAGCTCGCGTCTTCAGGGGCAGATACATGGCAAACTTGGCACGAGGAAGTTCAGCCAGGTTGACAGCGGATCGGACCGTAGTTAGTAGCCACCGCTCGTTTAGCAATTGAGTCGGGATTACAGATTCCATCTTCATGTCTTTCCGTATGAAGAACACATGCCGGCAAGGAAGTAAGCGCGTCGCCATGAAGAGGCATGAGCACGTCCAACTATTCTTGTGAACCGTGTAACTGACTCGAGGCTCGTCGAGGGCATCTTCCGACCTTGATTCGCTATGGATAGCGTATACTCCGGGAAATACCTCATTATACTGATACGAAGCTTGGGCGACGGCAAACGTGTACTGCTTGTAACCGTGTTTTGACGCTTGTATGCACACCATAGCTCTCTGCAGCTATCCCAATTCTTCGTAAAGTAGGCTTCAAACGCATGCAGATTGGGGTCGCATTCCTCTTCGGCTTCATTGTGAGCATCCGAGCCGGCTTGAGTCTGAACTAAGTCCGCATCACCAACGCGAAACCCAATTGGACCCGAATCACCCGCTGAGTGCCCGACTGAGCTCGAATCCAACATTAAGTGCCCAACCGAGCCCGAATCAGCCACAGCCTGCCCGAGTAAGCTCGAACTGCCCGAAGCAACGCCAAATGTCACAAGGTGGCGGAGGTAGCGACGATGCTTCAAATAGGCTGCCTCAGTAGGAGCATACACGAGCAAATTGAATGTGCTGCGTAGCTGGTCCTTTTGCCATGAGGTGAAACCATAGTCCGAAGATGCCACAGCCTCTCTCAGGTACTTCAACACGTGAAACTGACAGAGCAGTATAGAGGCATCCGGAAACGCTGCCCTGAGTACCGACAACTTCGTAAAGTCTTTGTCGATAAGTATGCTTTGGACTCGAGTCCATGCCGGATTGTTCTGCTTAAACTCCTCGATTGCAGTGACGAGAGTGTGACGACGTTTATTCTGCAGAAGGGCGTGCTGAACAAACTGTCCGTGGCCGAAAACATCGTGCGCCATGAGCGAAAATACCTTGTACTTAGAAGCATTGGTGCCGTGGGTTGCATCGATCAAAAGAACCTCCGGGAATTGCTCGAACATCAGCCTCATGTGCTGGGTTTGCAATGTAATGCAGGTCGCAACTCGCTAATTACATTCAACACTGCACGTTAGCTAAGGTATCGATAGTCAAATTGAACGAATACTATACCTTGGTCTGCATGGTCTCGACAAATATACGTCCAATATTTCCTGGTGCTTCACAGAATTCTTGCATCCATGTTTTCAACCGTTTGGCACTGTTACGCGAACCACGCACGTTTTCGCTCTGCTTGAGGCTTCGAACCATGTTACGCACGTCCTGAATAGACGGGTTGGCGTCCGTTTTCTCGATGATGAACTTCATAATATTCTTGTGTTTTGCACCCGCCTTGCGGAGCATATCCACCGACTCAACGACGCCATCATCTAGCACCTTGTGGATCGAGGAAAAGCGATAGAAGGTTTGGCGGTTGACGACATGATTGTGTACGGGGTTACACTTTGTGATACAAACTGCAAACGCGTGCTTGGCTTTGTCAACTAGTCGAGCGCAGGCGTTGATCTATGCCAAATTTATTAACGTTAGTACCGATAATTGAGACAATAGTACCCGCAATGCCCGAACAAACCCGAACGAACCCGAGCAGAAGTAAAACTTGAAGCCGTATCTTACCTGGGCTTTGCAGTCCGATAACCGGGTCTCTTGACGTGGGCGCTTGCTGTTTCCCTTCGACTTGTACTTGCCGACTCAAGTACAGACTAACGTCTTCGCGTAGTATTTCCATTCGGACAGGATTTCAGGTGCTTTAGAGTTCTTGTTTCGGATGTCTGTGTTACGACGCTCAACGGTCGTGTTTGTACGAACACGGAAGACCTTCATAGCACACAATGGGATCAGCAAAGAAGCCTATTGCAGTGTAAATCCACTTTACCTGGTAAGATGCGGCAAAATACCGGTCTAAATACGAGTGGAAAGCGTCCCACGATGTGAAGTGGTGCTTGTCGGGCACAGCCAGCGTTACATTGATAGACTCAGAGTCGTCGGTGTTGGTCCAGTCGCTGGAGCGGCTGCTGTTGTCGCCAGATTCCATCGGGAGCGATTCGTCGACCAATTCCTCTTCGCTGGACTCGACCGAGACGTTGGATGCGTCATCATCGCTTCGTGACCCTGATCCACGACGTTTTTGAGACGTCCGCGCCCTTAGCTCCATCTACAACGTTTGCGCCGATCGATTCTTGCCCTGTGGCTGACCCACGCTCGGCAGCACGCGCAGATTCGTGGCGATCGTCCAGCAGTATTCAGACCCCGAGGCGGGAAAAATGTGTGGTCGCCCCCCTTTACTATACGGTATACTTTGTCCGGAAAGGGGTATTTATCTGAGGAGGTTTAGGGTCGACTCGACTCAGATTTGGCAGATTTTCATTCGGGCAAATGAATCACTCTCTTTAAGTAAAACTATCCATCATTTCGGACCAGAGGTAGTGTAACACAATTGTTTGGATAGTCCTACGTCTTAACTAGTTCTTAAGCTACACTTTACTCGACGAACTTGCCTTTCTGGTGTCTCAGTTTCAGAATGCCAGCTTTCTTCCTGCCTCAGCGCGGAGTAACTACATGTTACTAAGCTTACACTTTAAGCTGTACACGTCAGAACGATCTTCAGTAGAAAAAAGCAAGCGGTAGTCTCCGACAAGAGGAGACGTAATAGAAGTCCGACCATGGCAAGCACATGCCACACTCACTTTAAACTTCTAAAAGTAAGCAAAAGTTTTCAGCTTCAAATCAATCGGTCATGTTGCAGTAAGTAAAACGGAACAAGCGTGAGAAGCACATTTCGGCCAACAAATAGAAGCCACTCAGCTTTACCATAACGTGAAGACCATAGGGAAACCGGTCCGTGTGGATTAGATCCAAGGCGCTGGGCAGATGTTCACTGGATCGAGCTCTCGTTGTCCTTTTTACGAGCTTTTCACGAACGGGTGTGCCAGCGCGTCTCTCACGGAAATGCGCTTCGACGGGTCGAGTGTGAACATCCGATCCAGTAGACTACGGAGCTCCAGCACCTGCTTCCGGTCATCTGTAGCGCTCTTCGCTGCCATCAGACTGCCAGCTAGATCGTTCTTGGACTTGATGGTGTCCATCAAGCGCAAGATGGGCTTACCTGGTGCACACAACCACAGTATTGTAAACACAGCATTAGCCTCCACTAAACCTGCGATCTGCAGCTTCAAACTGCATCAAAATCCACGTTACCCGTGACACGGTCGCTTTCCCGGCTGCAGAACTTGAGGTCTTCGGTAAAGTGCGGTTCCATCTCGAATTGGTCGAGATAAGCCTGGCGATGCTTCTTTATCAGCTTGTTGGGGATCTTGCCCTTGAGCTCCATAAAGAATTTGAGCATCTCGTTATTCGTGCTCCCTGGAAACATAACTCTGCCAGTGAACATCTCGTACAAACAACAACCGACAGACCACATATCTACCGCTTTGTCGTACGCAAGGCCCAGCACGACCTCGGGAGCTCGGTAGAACCGACTGACGAGGTACGGCGTCGGGTCCTGCTTGCCCTTGTCCGCTTTGAATGCCGAGCCAAAGTCGCACAGCTTGATGGTCGTTTGCTTCTCGTCGAGCAGCATGTTATCCGGTTTGATATCTGTTCGTATCCAGCAGTTACATCACAGCGTTAGTTAGCATTTAACCTGTACAGCAAACTTTAACCCTCTCATTCGTCCGTACCAGCATGGATAACACCGCTGGCTTCCAGATGACTAAGCGCGAGGAGCAGATGCTTGCTAAACACCCGCACAGCTTGGATCGAGATGCCTCCTTTGCCTCCAAACTTCTTCATGGCTTCACGCACGTTCATCTGCATGGGCTCAAACACCAAGGCGACGTGGCTGCGATGTGTAAACGAGTCCAGGAGTCGAATGCAATGTTTCTTGTCACGTGGATCCCGCTCGCCCAGTTCCTTGAGAAGCTTGAGCTCCGTTTGCGCCGCGTCACGCATGACGTCGTTGTTCCGGATGAGTTTGACGGCCACAACGCTGAGGGAGCCACCGCTCTCGGTCTCTAACGGGGTGACGCACTGACAGCGAAGGACCGTGGAGAAGACGCCCTTCCCCACCGCCCCCAGCACACGGTACTTGCCGTTCAGCACCTCGCCAATCGTAGTGGAATAATACCCTTCGGCGTCGTCGCAATTGGACTGAAGAGCCACTTCGTCCACTGTCACTGCAGCGACGCCTGTACTACCGTTCATGGCGTCGTTATGGTCGTCCAGCGCTGCCATCGAGAACATGTCGAACTCGTCGGCGACGTTTACAGTCGGCTGAGGGGACGGGGATGGCTTCGGTGGCGACTGCACCACTTCTTGCTGCTGTTTCAGGGGCGATTCTACGATTTCTTTCCGCTCGTCCCTCTCCGCAGTCACTGGAGCTGATGCTGGCGTTGGACTTGTGGCAACAGAAGTGCTGGCTCCGCTCTTCTTGATCACAGCGATGGTACTTCTCGCGTCTGCGAGAGCCTTGAGGATATCCGCTTTGATGGAGCTGACATCGAGTGCTGGCTTGGCTGCTGCTGGCTCTTGCTTGTCCGCGGACTCTTCACTGACAATGCTATTCGGTAGCCTCTCCTTGTCGGCTGCAGCTCCCTCGTTCATACGCTCCTGGACTGCGACCTTTGACATCGTCTGAGTCAGTTGGACCTCTTTTTTCTGAGCCTCTGAGACGTCCACCTCGACGACATCTTTAGCTTTCTCGACCTGACTCTCGTTTGCAGCAGCTGCTGCCTTCCCAGCCTGAAAATCCCGCGAGAAAGAGGTCGAAGACGACGTTACGGGCTCCTGGTCGTTCTGTGCCTTCTTCTCAGCTCTAGGCACCGACCTCGACCTAGATTTGGAGTGCGACCGACGACAGACTTTCTTGTCACCACTTTCGCGGCGACGTCTTTTGTGGCGCTCCCTGGAGTGTGAGCGAGAGCGCGATCGGTGGCGCCGACGACTGTGGTGGCGGTGACGGGAACGGCGGGACCGTTCTCGGCTGCGGCTGCGACTCGCACTGCGCCGCTTGGAGGAGCGACGGTACGAGGAGCGATGAGAACGTGAAGCTGACGGTGAGCGGCTTCGCGAGCGATGGGACCGGCGCGCGTGGCGATCGGTCGAGCGGTCTCTCGCAGTCGCCATTAGAGCGATTGACACGATTATTACGATAGCGAGTCGTTATGTACGCCCTGTGTGATTTACCGACAAGTACTTAATATTGTGTGACTGCCATGAAGTTGAATCAAAAGTGGTATTTTGGTGGCACATTAACATTTTTTTTTACGCATTTGTCGATGCCAACTTTACTCTTTTATTTGATACAGCGTAGCAATTATTTTTCGTGAAATGTTAAACTTCGAAGTACAGTGCTCTCGCGTCATCATATAATTCTTCCGTATGGATACAAGACTGAAGAACGCCCGGTAACGAGCGACTTTTTTGTTGTGTTGTATTACCTAAGTACTGTAGACATGTACGGACCACCTCCTGCTGTAGCTCTTGATGGAGAGCTATCGGTGTTGCAATGCGCATCACAAGTATTACTCTACAGTGATTTAAAGCCAGCGGCAGCTTGATATCTACACATGCACACTGAGATGTTTTATTGCGTACGTTTACTCTGTCCAGTTGAGGGGGAATGTTGCAATGCGCATAACAAGCATTACTCTGTAGTGATTTAAAGCCAGCGGCAGCTTGATATCTACACATGCACACTGAGATGTTTTATTGCGTACGTTTACTCTGTCCAGTTGAGGGGGAATGTTGCAATGCGCATAACAAGCATTACTCTGTAGTGATTTAAAGCCAGCGGCAGCTTGATATCTACACATGCACACTGAGATGTTTTATTGCGTACGTTTACTCTGTCCGGACGAAGGAAAGGCAACAAGTGAGCTGAACCCACTACCGTTGCTCGATATCTCTCCACAGGGAGACTCCAGACGGATAACCCTTGTACGTGTGGAGCTCACGCTCTAGCTAACTTTCTTATACTCAATCTTACCTTCTACCCAGCAACCAACTACAAGTCTTGTGACGGGGTCACACAGCACCTTGCGCTAGAGGAAGTTAGCTTCTGAGAGTATACAAATTCTCAGTGAACGGCAGTTCACAGGTCCCCTCTTTATTCAAAAGAGAGCGAAGTGAGTAGAATGTAAACTGAGTATATTTGTAGGTAGATAAAGCTTGGGTTTTATACAAACTATAAGTCACCTATAGAAATGCAATGTCGTTAACCAATGGTTGGCTTTGAACGACCTTGGTACTTTGTACCAAATATCCCGACGTATGACGTGTCACACTTCATGTGACCAGGGTACACTTAGGGCTACGTACCCCGTTACATCCTCCCCCACTTAGGTTCGTTTACCGACCAATCAGAATGAAGAGGTGTTCGTCACAAACTTTCATTCTCAAAGTCGAAAACCATCGACTTGGCCGCGCGAGCGCGGCGGAGGCTCACTTCACAGTTAGAGCCTCGAGCAGCAGTCTGTGCGCTCTTCTTCTAGGTCTCCACTTCGACCGTTTACCATGCCTCGTGGCACTGCAAAGAGCGGTGCAAAGACACGCTCCAAGGCTGCTGCCGGGAAGGCGCAAGCCAAGAGCACTAAACCTCACGACAAAGGCTCGGCACTTAAGGAGGCTATTCAGGTGGCCTCCGAGGCGATCAGCTCATCGGGCGACAAGGTTGTGGGCAAGGGAACCAGCAAGCGCCGCAGCCCGTCGCCCTCGGTCTCTCTAGACAATCGTCCGAACCCTCGGTTCGTAGAACGTGTGTTCGACTCTGGTAGTGAGGACGAAGCCGAGTCCGAGAGCACGCACGATGCTCCTGCGGGCTCTGCGGGAGGGCACAGCCCAGTGCCCAGCGAGCACAAGGACGACAGCGTGCAGTCGCTCGCTAGTGATCAAGGTGATCACAGTCCCAGGACGTCTGTGCGCTCTGAGAGTCCGGCCGTCAAGGCTAAGGGCACTCCCAAAGCTGGTGGCGAGGAAGAGAATCCTCACAAACGTCTCTCGCTTGTCGAGGGTCTTCCGCGTGCTAAGGCCTCTAAAGCCGAAGGTGCCAAGCCCTCAAAGAAGCGTACAGCCTCTAAGTCTCCACTCCGCGAGGAGAAGGAGACGCGGCTCTCCCATCGGGGCATCTTCGACTCCTCGGATGAAGAGGAGGAGAAGGAGGAAGAAGAGGAGGAGGAGGAGGGTGCTATCTCTGAGCCCCGGGAGGTCACGAATCACCTCGACCAGCAGCAGCAGGATTTCCAAGCTGCCCAGCGTGTGCGTGGGGGTTCGGTGGTGGCACCCGTCAGCCAGGGAGCTGCCATCAACTCAAAAGGGTATTGGCCTCCCGAGGAGAGCTCTGGGGCTGACCTCTTCTTAGAGCTTCTCGTCGCTCCTCGTGGCCTTGTGGGCGGCCACACTTCTAGGGGCATTTACGAACGCGCCCTTGTTCAGAAGGAACAGTTGTTCGTTGACAACTTGGAGGCTGCTCGGTGTGTGCTTCTCGCACCACACCGCATCCCCTTAAAGACTTCACGACTTGTCGTAAGAAGCCCGAGACCCGAAGTGGTCTCTATCCTCTTTGGGGATCCCCCTGGGTTATGCCCGAGAGCTGTCCCACTTGGAGTTCTTGTGAGGACATGTTCTGGGCATGGGTGGAGTCTCTTATGTACTCACCCACGGAGTTACGGGAACTCCATGAAGATCAGCTGCTGTCCTGCATCCTGGACCAGCGTGATCTTCGTGTTCGGTTTGCCCACTTGGTCAGCAAGCGCATGCTGCCAAGGGACATCCTGAAGCGTGCGGCTTCCAGCGCTCACGATGAGCGCGGGTACGGAGTGTATTCAACGTCCATACCTCGTTCGGGCAAGAAGCCCCCGACTACTTATGAAGCTGCCGCCGCTTCTGTTCCCAGATTGCGACAGCCTTCGAGTAGTCAATCAGGAGCCGTTCAATCGGCTCCCACGAGTTCTCGGAGTGGGCATAACTTCTCCACTTCACGAGGAACTGTCGCTTACCGCGACGCCGTTGTTCCTGGATGATCCGCTCCACGTGGAAGTGGACTTCTCCATTCCGGTCAAGCAGGGGCGAAGGTGCCCTCGTACGAGTACGAGTACTCGGCGCCTCCCGAACGCCACTCTCGTCCGAGTGCTCCGACTGCGGGTCCGACACAGGGCCCTGAGGTTGACCGCCTTTGTCAACGTGTCCTCGTGCTTGAGATTGCACTTGGCCTTGGGACTGGCGGTGATGCTGCCGCCCAGGCCGGGAATCAGGGCGAGCTCGCTCGTCTTGCGAGCCGCCTGGACCTGTTGGAGCGAGAGGTCGCGAGCCTGCAACTGCGGGTGGATCACCGAGTGTGGTGTAGGGATTTCCAGATTCCACCATACGCCAACCTACTTTAAATTAAGAATCGGCTCGGTCTGATAACCCAGAGCTTAGGAACAAAGGATTACGGTAAGTACTCGGCGATCTGTCCGGATGATGCTATCCGGATAGCCGCCGAGCTCAACGGTCGCCTGAACCCAGCTGAAGGGTCGGTAGAGATCCGAAACGACTACATTTCACTAGATATTTGTAAAAGAAGCATAGGATTCAATAGGGGAGCTGAAAAGGCTCCCAGAAGATAACAGAGCAGAATTTTCCTAGTCCAAGACACGTGTACACTTTTCCGGTAGGTCCCTGCATAGGGCTGGATTATGCCTGCCGTCGATACTCGAGAGGCATAGCTTGTAGGGTATTGACTGGTAGCGCCAAGAGATTAGGTCGGTCCGGGTAGAACAAAGTCTCGCTACGCGCGAAAGAAAGTCCCGCATACTCAGCGGGCCGGTACGTCGGATAGCCCGGGTGCCGTAACACTTCTAGCTGAGCAGCCTCTGTGCTCGGTGACCTGTAAAAGCGCTCGCGCGCCGTCGTCCATCCTTTGGTGGAGGGCACAGGGTTGTGAACGAGCTCAGCCGAACCAAACTCGGCGGAACCTCGGAAGTGACCTGACTTGGTTTGTCGGAACCGAGTGGAAGCGAGCCACTCGTCTGTCCCGGAAGGGCCGGACCGCGAGGGGACCACCCTCTGCGCAGGCCATACAACCGCCGACCAAAGTCGGCGATTCGTTGTGGTTTGTGTAAGGAATCCACATCTGACGGTATTTGTGTGTTCTACTACACCACAACTGGTGCCGCGACCCGGGAACAGGAGTGTGTGCTTGTTGTTATAGGTGCCAGCTAACCAAGTTAAGAGGAAGAGAAGAGAAAGCGAAGAGTGAAGATGGTCAAGGGATCAGCAACTCCGAGCGACGGAAGCCCAGCGACGGCTGGAGGATCGCTTCTCGCGGGGTCGGACCCGGCGGATCAACGACTCATCGCCATGACGATGGAGGTGGGACGAACCGTCCAGTTCGACGAGGATGGCCAAGACCAGGAGAGCGAGAACGGAGATGCAAGTGAAGGAGAGTATGAAGAGAAGGCCGAGACCGCTGAGCTCGGAGAAACGAAGACTACCGCCGAGCTACTTGGCGAGGTGGAAGAGTTGACGCTGCAGGTGGAGCGCATGGGAGCCCCACGTCCTGTCGAGCGCAACTTATCCGCCGAGCTCGACGAAGGTGCGGACGATGAAGAAGATGAAGAAAAACATGGCGTTGCTCAAGGGGACCGTCCGCCCCTTATCCCGAAAGCGACGAGGAACGCCGACACGCCGAGCGCCAATAAAGTGTTGGCTCGACTCGGCGAGGAGATGAGAACGAGATCGAAATGGATGATAATGTTCGCGCCTGTGGCGACGGCGCAGGCGAAGTGGCCGATGTTGGGTCCCGAGTTAACGCAACCGGTGCGTGCAGCCAACATCGAGAGTGCTACCGTTCTGACGCATCGCTCCAGTGGCTCAAGCGTTTCATCTACGAGATGAAGAGCACCAGGATGCCCCAAAGTGCCTGGTGTGAACCCTTCTCGCTATGCTTAGGACGCGCGGCGAAGAGTTAGTATAGGCAGCTGCCGAAAAAGACTCAGCGACGTTGGAAACTACTCAGCGAGGCGTTCTTGGACTATTATTGCTCACTGTTTGACCAATCTGCCCGCACTCGCTACTACTCGGCGAGATGTAAGGTCAACGAGCCGATCTGCGACTTCCTGATCCGACTCAATGGGTATGCTCGAACA